ATGCTCTGATATCACTTGTGACGCTCTGGTGCTAGCCGGAAGTACCAACGTCCAATTGAGCCACTAAACTAACAAATAAAATATTAAAGTACAGGTTTAATACATCCTCATACATAAATACAAACAGTATTCTCAGGTACTATGGTCAATTACATTTTATCTACATAATGTTTTATAAAAGGAACAAAATATAAAATAAATTAACCTAAGGCCTCTTCAAAATAATCTCCAACAGCCTCCTCCCCTAGTTCTTCTAGAAGGAGTCTAGACACGGCTCATTCAGGATCTCCTCATCTAACTCATCTAGGGAAATAGATTGGGGATGAGTTCCATAAAATTAAGTAAGAAGAAAAGTACTGAAAATACGTAAATACGTTTTAAAATAGTTATTAGTGTAATTTAGTAAATAAAAAAATTCTCATACATGTGCATACTTCTCATATTATCTACTCAGTAGTGTCATTTTTATTCTTCTCAAACTGCCAATGTGTTTCATCCAAAATATCACAATCAATCAGTAGTTTTAGCACACACACCTTCCACCTTGTTATTAAGACTCAAATTCTATAGTTTTAGAGATTACAGACTTATTATCTTATAGTTAGTTAAAGTGATTATAAACCTAAATGCACAACCGCTAACCTTATTTCTAAGGAGGGCAACAAAGGACACCATCATCTATGAAATGAGTAAATGCATTACATCCGTCAATAAAAATTACATGCATCATCATAAAATAAATAAATACATAAAAAGGTCATTCATCACTCTAGTCCACACACACTAGGTCACTCGAGTCGCAATAGTGCCAAATATCCTACACAATATCGGCAACAACTATCCCATACGGCTTCGTTTCACACAACGGGTGCCAACTATCCCGGATAGCCATGACCATGTTCTATCTCGGACAGACTACGCCCCAATCGTTGAAACATACCCCAAGTCATATGCCTAGTAGCTCTAGCAAGTTATTATAATTACCACTACTCTCTAGGGAAAACTAGGAAACTGGATTTAGACTTGACTATGTGATTATGTTTTGTTTTCCATTTATTAGCCTTTAAGTGTAGGTCCCCCAATGTATCCATTTACTATAACAATTTATAGGTTTATTATTAAATTCTCAAATTCCTCATTTCTTCAAAATTCCAAATTAAGTCGTATTCAAAAGTTTCTCAAGTTGCCTTAATTTTCTTAAATAAATTACAAAATTGAACAATTTTCCATTTTTCTTTCTCTACCAATTTTATCCATTTTCATTCATTAAATTAATTTTAATTTTAACAAATTTTTTAATTTTTAAAATCACATCTTATAGAGGATTTTCCCCTAAGCCTTGTCCAAGGCTAAATGCCTAACCACGTATCGGCATGCACAGGCCCCTGACACGTGTATGCTTGTCGACCCACACAGTCCACAGACTACTGCACAGTAATGTGTCCTCGAGGCATAAGCCTTGGGCAGGTGCCCCTTCGCACATTGCGTGCACAGCACGCATGGTCCCTGCAACAAAACACTCTCGGCACAGCAGGCCTGCTTAGCAGTGTCCTTCCTCTCGAGCGCAGTGTACTGCGCATACACATCATGCAAGGGGACGTATCACAACATTTGTAGGTGCCTCAACAATGCCTCGTGCACACCCACACACGGCATATGCCATATAGCCCCTTTATCCTGGCATTTTGGTGTCGGGGCTGAACAGCAAGAAGCATCCAGTTTCCCACTAACGATTCATCATGATTTTCTATCATTTTTGCTTTTGTGATTATTTAAAATCCATAAAAAGCTTTATACATCATCAATAAACATTTCATATTCAAATACATTCACAAAAACAACAATTAAATCAGAGAATTGCACACACTCACACTTTTATTTTCATAAAAACCACGAGTTTTCTGGTTTTTTTCACATCTTAGATTTTAAATGCATATAGAAACTGCAATATTTGGGTAAATTAAGGTACTATTTCTCTTACCAAACTGACACACAAAATAGATTCCAAAACGCACGAGAAAATGGTTGTAAAATCATGTATGAATAGCAATGACTCACCTGAACAGTAAAGTAGAGTTAGAATGCGTTTTGGGAAGAATCCGTGGAATCTGGAAAAATTTCACTATAAGGATTTGTTCCCCAAGAGTCCTAACATGCAAATCGACTAATCTATAGCCTATATTTGGAAAAAAAAATTGAACACAGAAATGAGATTGAAAGAAAAACAGTAACTTACCCAAATAGAGATGTCATTCTGATGCTGCAGTAAGGATTTTGGGTTTTTCGGGCTTACTGCAATGAATCAAAAACTAGGTTTTATTCAATAAAAACTAGGAAGTGTAAATGATAAAGAGAATAGCTCAAAAGAAGAAGAAATCTGCTTACCTCAGCTGGGATGAAACTGAATTCCTCTTCGACACACTTTCGCTCAACACCCTTTGTTTTTCTGCCCTCTCTTTCTTTAGCTTCGGTCTCCCTCTCTCACATTCAGAATCCTCATAGATGGAGCTCTCAACTCTCTCTATTCTCTCTCATTCTTGATGAAGAAAGAAAAAAGACAGAAGAAAAAAAAGCTTTTAACACCTTGTTTGGATAAATTTTAGTGATGGTTAATTAATGTATGGTAATGATAATGATTGCATGGCAATGACACAGGATGGGAATGGCAAAAAAAATTTATATTTAGATGATTGTATATTAATATATATTAATGGCATATTTTTGTTTGGATGATAGGTTGTTATAGTTATATTTTCAGTCAAATTATATGTAATAGTAAATGGTACGTAAGAAATATGTAATGAAAAATAAATAAATTATTTATCAATATAATTACATTTGTATTTAAATAAATAATTATTATACAATCAAATTAAATTTTTATATTTAATAAAATAAATAATAATTTGTGATGATAAAAATAGAATTAAGTATATTATATGAGGGTATAAGGAGAAAAAAGTAACATGCCAGTCACATACCACTGATTTGGTGGTTTCAAAATTCATCCCAAATATTTCGGTCAAATACCATTTGTTAACATTGAAAGTTAAAACAAACATGATTTTTTCACACCTATAGAGTACCATACATTAAAATTCTATCATTTACCATGATCCAAACAGGGTGTAAATAGGGTTTTCTACATCAACGAGGGTCGTTGGATGACATGCAATGCATCCCAACCCTTGATGGAGATGAGTGGCTGACATACAAGAAGTAGGAGGTCTGAGATCATGATAGCTTGAAGGGATTTACCTGCAACAATCCATTAAGATGTCCACTCAAATAGGAAGTGGAAATCTGCCAGACCGAAGTTCCAGGCTGACACGCCAATGTAAGCCTTGCCCCTAAGCAACAAGTGTTGGGAACTTTGTCCTCTACCCTTGTCTAAGGGTATTCCTTGCGAGAGTGAAGACATAAGGGTTAAAAGATGGCAAGGGCTCACGGGTTGGGATTTTCTCTTATCTGTAGGCATCAAATTCCCCTAAACCTAATTTTTCATGTTTTTTTATTATTAAAATAAATTTAAAATACAAAATAAATTAAAACATATATAAGAAATACCTCTTTATTAATTTACAAGAATTACAAGTTTCAGGATGTTATACGTCCCCACCGAAATTGGGGTCGAGAAGTTACACAAAGCAAGTACCAAGAGCTTGGTATTGTAAGATTTATGAATTTCTAACTCATAGTTGTTATTCAATGACACCTACGGATTCTAGTTTATCTTTCGAAGCTAATAGAGAAAAGTTAGCTGTTGTACTGGTAATTATAAATAATTCTATCATAACAAAAGATTGTGGAGAAAAAATTCTCTGAACAAAGGAGAATCTATCAGTTTGTTTTTGTATGAAAGAACTTGGCAGCTCAAGTTACTTTTCTTTTTCTAGAGGTCAATCATACACAAAAAGCAACATTTCTCCACCAGCAAAAATGTTTTAGAGATCTATTAAAGAAGTTTGAAATGATAAAGTGCAAGCCAAATTTGATGCCAGTAGAGCCAAATATCAAAATGTGTGCTCATGAAGGGAGAGATTTAGAAGATGCAATATTGTATCAACAACTGGTGGGTAGTTTGATCTATTTAACTTTAACCAAACCTGATATTTCTTATATAATCGGTGTCATGAGTCATACATGCAAAATCCAAATAAGCCTCATTTAGAAGCAGTACGACAAATTCTAATATATGTTAAAAGTACATTTGGCTATGGCATCTTATATAAAAAAGGTAGAGATTGTAAGCTAGTCAGTTATTGTGATATTGAATATGCAAGTCGGTGATTATGATATCAAGCAATTTCTTAGCACAGCAAAAGAAACCAACTATATCTTTGTTAACAACAAAAGTGGAGTTTAGAGATGCAGTAATTATAGCGCAAGAGAGCACTTGGCTTATACGATTGTTGAAGGACATGCATCAACCGATAGGTTATGCAATTTCTCTATATTGCAATGATAAAATGTTTGACTATGAATCCAGTTTTTTATTCGAGAACTAAACACATAGAAATGCATTATCACTTAATCAAAGAAAAAGTTCTGCAAGAGAAAATTGGGTTGAAGTGACCTTTGTCCCAGTCAAAGCTAGTTTAAAGTGAGGATAATTTTTCTACTTACGGTGAGGAAAAAAAACCAACTTTTTGGAGTCAGAAGCTGCTTGCTTAAATACAGAACTTTGAAACCAAATTCCCTACTTCTACGAGCAAGATAAACTCAAATTCCTAATTCTATAATCTAATAAGATAAATAAAAAATTAATAAATGTTAGAAATGTGATAGCAGCTTATACGAATGGTGGGTTTTTTACCAAGTCTGCTGGAGTGTATTTTCAACATGTGCAGCACTTGCTTCCTTGTCTTCCGGTTCTAGTTTAATCCATATATTTTGGATTCCTTCTTGGGATCCTTTGGGATCTTCTGACCTTATCATAACTCCCCCCTTTTGAAGCAACCTTATCCTTAAGGTTGTGAAACTATTCAAATAAATTCTCTACATTTTCCCAGGTGGCATCCTCAGGTAGTAGATTCCTCCATTTAATTAAGCTTTCTTCAATGGATTTAACTCCTTTTTTTTAACCCAGCATGTGTTCAGTATTGCTTTTGGTTGCAGAATAATGTTACCTTCTTTTGTGGTAGTGAGCAAGTCATTGGCGGGGAAAGAAACATCGCCCAATTTTTTTTAAGTAGGAATACATGAAAGACTGGGTGAATTCGAGATCCTTCGAGTAGTTGGAGTTTATAGGCAACTGGGCTAATTTGTTGTTTAATACGATAGGGCCCATAAAATGGCAAGCCAATTTTTGGAGTGCTCTTTTGAAAACGGTCTACTGGCAGTAGGGTTGAAGTTTCAAAAAAACCCATTTACCTTCCTGGAACTCCACGTGGCATTTTTTGGCATTGGCACT